TGATCATGCCTTTGAGCTTATCTCTTACTATCTCCCTGATGATCCAACAGACTCAAAGCTATCCCCCTCTCTATCTTTAATGATAGAGAGGACACTTTTGCTTGGAAGGGAACTTCCAGAGGTACCTTCACCGTTGCTTCTGCTTACTGCCTTCTTAAAAATCCTTTTACTTTTGCTAAAAAAAAGTGGGATTGGATATGGAAGCTGCCAACCATCCCAAAAATTCAACATTTCTTTTGGCTGTTAGCTCACCAGAGACTGAAATGTTTCAGCTTCTTACATCATTTAAGTATTTCATCTACTGCTATGTGTCCTCACTGACAGGATGAAAAGGAAACAGTGGAGCATCTTATCCGACTATGCCCTTCCTCAACCGTTATCCTTCAGGATTTATTTCCTGATATCTCATCGCAGCAGCAGCAAGACCTGGACTTCTTTTCTTGGCTTAAATTTAATTCCCACTGCAAGCTTAAGACGAATGTGTTGAACATCCCTTGGAACACTCTGTTTTGCTTTGCCATTTGGGGAGTCTGGCTCCAATGTAATCAAACTGTTCATTCCCCCCAACCGTTCCAACTCAATAACCTCCAAAGTAGTATTATTGAAAAAGCTGCGAAATTTTGGGCCTCTACTATTCCAAAAGCTACCCGTATATACCATGAGGAGAACTTTAAATGGGCGAAACCTCCCCCAAATGTCATCAAACTGAACACGGATGGGTCAGCCAAAGGGAATCCAGGCATTTCAGCTGCTGGGGGCATCTTTCGTGATCACCATGGTAACTAGAAGCTTGGATATGCTAGGAAAATTGGCTGGTCTAACAACCTTGCAGCAGAACTTTGGGCCATTAGAGATGGATTACAATTGGCCATTACGCATAACTTTTTTCATATTATTGTGGAATCTGATTCTCTTGTTGCTATCCAGCTCCTTCAAGAGCCCCCACCTACATCTCATAATCTAAGTGCCTTAATTTTTTACTACAGGGAGTTGCTTCGACAAATTCCCCTTGCTGAACTCTAACACATCATCCGTGAATCTAATATGGCTGTTGACCAGATGGCGAAACTTGGACATGGCATTGATCATGATTTTGTCACTTTTGAAAGCATTCCGCTATCTATCAAACAATATTGTATTGCTGATATTATGGGAATTGAATTTCCCCGTATGTGTTGAACTATTTTCAATTAATATGTCTTCTCCTTTTACCAAAAAAAAAAAAAAGATGAAGCATCAAATTTATGTTTTTCCAATTCGGTGCTGTTTCGGCAGCTTCACAATCCAACACTGTTGAAGTCTTCAGCTGCTTCTACACCTGAAAATCCCGAGGATGTTTCCTCGGGGAAAACATTCCAACGCTCAAGTCAGCAATACTCAATATTCTAGAGAGAGATGCTCTCAAGGAGTAATTGCAGAGAGAGAAGCGTAGAGATTAATTACCTTCATCGGAGGTAGTTGGGGGGTATTTATAGCCCCTTGGTGCTGACATACATCTACACGTGTAAGCAGCCCATTGGCCCACGTGGTGTTGGTCACGTGGGTATGCTTGTACCAATGCTTCTTTAGCTTGGGCTAATAGGTGGTACTCTAGGCCCGTTATGCATAGTCCTGTTTGGGCGTTGAGCCTGCTGGGCCTATTCCAACATTACTCCCCCCCAGTGTTCGGTTGACGAACTGGGATGTGTGTAGCCACGGGCCAACGTTGTTGGGCCTATTCCCTTCCAAACGGGTTTAACAGCTTGCAGCCGATCTCGACAAAGGGCGAGCTGAAAGGTAAAACGAAAAGAGGCGAGCTCGCGAG